TCCGGTTCCAGGCCCGTGGGAATGGGCAAGAACCGGAACCGTATATATATATATATATTATTAATTACATACTTAGTAGTTAGTTAGTTACAACCATCTACTAAAGTCCAAAGTAAGTTAAGTATATACTGGTGAGGCTACCACGTGGTCCACTAGTGTCCACAAAACAAACTCATTTAAACCTAAACCTAAACCTAAGTCTCAGACTCTCATCACCCTTTATCTAAACCTAAACCTAAGTTTCATCGCCCCCCTAATCTCAAGGCTTCCTCAATCCTCATCACCCCCCTAAACTCAAGAGTCAAGGCTTCCTCATCGCCCTTCGCCTTAGTCGATTCAATCTGATCGAGAAATGGATGGAAAATAAGGTTCACGAGAAGGTCTCATCACTGAGACCAATGCAGGACAACGATCCTCTATTCTTCAGTTCCTCTTTGATCTCTTCAGATTAAAGTTTGGAATCTTTTAGTACATCGAATTCAACAAAAACTAGTTTCTTGTAATACCCCTAATATTTAAAAGGATATAGTTGGAATTTAAATTAAATTTTTTTTGAATTTTGTTTTCATTTTTATTTAATTATTTGGATTTTGTGTTTTGTGTGAGTATTTGGCTATATGTTTCATCAACATTGTTTTTGTGTTAAATTAATTACTTATTTGTTGTAATTTAATTGGATGATTAATTGGTATTTTAAAGTAATTGATTATTTGTTTTAATTTAATTGATTGATTAATTGGTTTTAACTGACGTGTGTTGTATATGGCTTATATGATTTATAAATTAAGTTTAGGGTTTATGTGGTATAGCCGTCATATAATAAGTTATGGAAATTAGGATTAGGGTTTCAATGGAGCCTATATATATATATAAGTTGTAGGTCTGGCAAGGGTTTTAAAAAAAACAAACTATGTTCCCGTAACTAGAGAAAAAGAGAAACAGAGAGGCTGAGGGGTAAAACATGAAAGGAAAACTGGGGAAAGGCTTTCAGCAATGTAACTGAAGGTCGTATCAAGGAGGAAGGAATGGTTTACTGTGAGATTGAACTGGCGCAGTGATTAGAGGAATGAACAGTCTTGGAGAAGCTTTGAAACTTAGAGACGACGATGAAGATTTCAAACCGGAATCTTAAGGCAAGTTTCAATCTATTCCTCTCCTGTAAACTTATGTTCTGTGCATCTTATATAGACTCCAGGAACGTAATTAAACTTTTAAAAACGGACTTTATGCATGCTAGATGTTTTCTGTAATCTGTTCTGCGTTTTTTTAAAGTTTAAATTATTGTTGCATAAACTGTTCTGTTGTGAGTTTACTTTCTGTCGATTGATTTACACTGGAGTATGAGGGGTTCTAGGACTGTAAGAAACTTAAATAGAGTTCTAAAGATGCTACAAAGGTTTGGGGATAGGATGGGAAGCTTTGCCGGAAGCACAGAAGGCAACCGAACGAAGCAGAGATGAGTTTGGAGCAGAGGAGAAGGCTCAAAGTGAGAGAGAGAGGGCTCCAAATTGTGGGAGTTGTCTCCCCCTTCTTAGAGCCAGCTCCAAGGGGTTAGGGAGCTGGCTCTAGGTAGAATAGAGCCTGCTCTTTTATTTTAGAGCAGGCTCCCTTGGTTAAGACACGTTTGGATGCATTTTGGAACTGTTTGGGCACTGTTTGGGCTAAGTTTGAAATTCTAAATGGTTTTAGGGACTGGAATGAGAATTCTAAAAGTATTTTCAAGGGTTTTAAATTCCTCTAATTGTATATTTTGGTTCATAGGGCAAATGGAATAAACAGTGTAAAAATAAGTGACTTTGTACGCTGCTAACGGATAGGAAGGACTAGTGCGCTAAGTTTTGTTTTAAAAATTTAACGGACTATTGCATGGAATCTAAATATGATATTATGCTATATTAGAATTCATTATGAATAATTTATCCTAATATGCTAAGGGTTTTCACAGTGTGGGAGTTTTAAGTAATGACGCACATTGTTGGCGATTGTAAAGTATTTAGTTGTGTAAATTTAATTTAGCAACTTAGATGACTGGAGGATGGTTCTAAAATCTATGTTAGATACAGAATAAGGTCATATATTTATTAGACCTTATTTGTGCATAGGTTGGATTTTAATTAAGGAACTAACAAATTAGGTTCCATTAATTAAATGGAGATTGTTATTTTAATAGTTAAACTATTCTTTATGTTTCAGCAACTATTGGTTAGTACTGTGGATGTTTCTGAGTTATAGTTTGGCATTCTCAGCTTTATAATTGACTCTTACTATTGTTAATATTGTCAACTGCTGGACTGTACTATGGGTTAGTTGAAATTTAATTAAATGAATTAAATTGTCAATGACATCGATGGATACTGGATCTTAACTTGATGAATTATTAAACTTTGTCTCGTTAATTACATGGATGGATTCTGGATTGCAAGTTGATGAACTGTTTAAACTCTGTATATCAACTATTTAGATTACGTGGGTATGATTTGATGAACTGTTGAAAATGTTGCATCATTCAAGGATCATTTGCATTATATGTACAGGTATGGGACGGTGACATATCAGGGATGGATTAGATCAAAAAGCTAAGTTCTACCCCTTTATACATAAGGAATGGATTAACTAAAACAGTTAAATCCTACATGGATGCATGTCCTGTCAATTAAAACAGTTGAACGACATAATGGATATTTGTTTTATCTTTCTGCATTAGGAAGGAATTTATATATATATTTATGGTACCGTGATATGAGCTTGAGTCTCCTGATCACGGTTAGGGTGCGTATATCGCAAAGGTTGAGTAGCTGGATATAGCTAATGTTCCCTGGTAGGTCTAGGTACTTGGCCGCTGGAAAGCGTGTTTTATATGTCACCTTCTACCCAGACTAAACTATGTTATAGGCTAGTGAGCATCCTATAGTGTGTATTTATATATCTATGGACTATTATAGATATTGCCGAGTTATCTATGATGTATCTGCGTATCGGGTTTATGTACGGATTGTAATAGATTGGAACTTGCATGTGGGCCTGACCCACTCCTATTTTTCAGGTATTCGCCAGTTCCAGCTTAGAGTTTGATCGTGTTGATGCAGATACAGACACTCACTCTACCGGTTACATAGGATTTCCTTCCTATTATGGTTTTGGATTTTAATTCTGTAAATTTATCTAAAGATTTGTATTTAGGGGTCCACCAGGTGGATTCCCGAGTTGTACGGATTTAAATTATATTAAATTATTATTTAAGGTTTGAGGATTCATATTAGTATTATTTCTGTTTATTATTATTTAAATCTTACTTCAGTTTTATTCCTGCTTGTTTATATATTGATTGTTTGGTATCCCTCGGATCTGTGCTCGGACTTGATCACCCGTAGCTCTAGAAACGAGGGGTATCACATTTCTCTATTCCGAGGCCCAAACAAATCAAAACTAACATTTCATGTTATGATTATGATCTATTTGATGACTATCATGATAATCAGCAAAAACATGAAGAAAGTGACCAAGTCGAAATTGAGAGCTTTAAAAATTTACAACAATTTGAAGTCGGCAAAAAAAAAGCAAACAGTCGGTTCTCGTGGAACCAAACCAGAACCGAACCTTAAATACTGTTTGGTTTGGTTCCATACTTATAGGGTTTCGGTTCTAATTTTAAGGAACTGTTGTGAACGGTTCTGGTTCCAGTCGGAACCATAAGGAACCGAACCGTGTGCACTCTAAGTGTGAGAGTGCTTAATGAGGGCAAAATAGACATTTTAGGTTGTTGATATTTTAAAATAAAATATATTAAAAAATTAAGGATAACATTGTATTTTCGCACAGATTTAACGGTGGAAAAGTAAAATTGGACTTAAGTGATAATAATTTTTGAAAGATGTTTTAATATTATATTTGGTCAAACCTGAAGGATGTCCATGAAATTAACCCTATTTTTTGGCATCACAAGAAGCTTACATGCCAACACGAACTTGAATTTTGACTTTTAACTCTGGAAGGTGAAAAAAAATTACTAGTTATAACCCCCTTTGTGATAAATGAGATTGGAGTTAGTTGAGATATTTTTTTAAATTGTAAAATGCTTATTTTAATTGATAATCATGAAAAGTTTATAAAATTATAATTACTTTGGGTAACTAGTACATTAAAGGGTCTTTCAAAGCCATGGTTGATATATGAGTTAAAAATATAGATTTATTTATTTATAACCTGGCAAACATCCAACAGCCTAACGGCACTTACAAAGATGAGGCATAAACAACCATAACAATCCCACACAGGGATGAACAATAAATCCAAAAAAAACAACCCCAAGACAACTAACCCAACACCAAGCTAGCTCAAGATCGAAGTCTTGAGAACAGTTAAAGCTTTAGAAAGTGTTAAGAAGGCTGAACTGGCTATCCCTCTAGAAACGTAAATTAAGTATCAAAGCACTGAAGGACCCACAACGCAACAGAAGACGAACTTATAATATGAAAATCAAGGAACCACATAACCCAAGTCAATAACCTGGCGATGATATCAGGGGCAAAAACATAACCGATAGGCTGCATCACCCAGACAACACAAAACAAATAAACTATGGAAGCCTCCCTTGTGATATGAAACACAAAGACATAAAAAGGATTAGCATTAAACACAGGGCTCGAGGGTACACGTGTCCATTACCCACCAACACCCATAAGAAAAACTTTCACAATACACTTTTAAGACGTCAGCGAAGACACCACCATAAACGTGCCAAAAAAGGAGTGAAAAATCACCGCCATACACGTATCGTCATATCGTACGTGACCCTGGCCCACCCAACACCCAAAGAAAACTTCTAGAGAACGCTTCCAAGACATTATCCATGACGTTATACCTACCCCAGCCGAAAACCCTAATCCCGACCACGACGGCTGTGATACCCCTCGGATCCGAGACACGGGTTGATCAGGCCCAGGCCCAAACCCGATGGATATCAAACAATTAATATGTTAAAATGAACACGGAATACAAAGTGATTAAAGAAATAATATAATGAGCGGAAAGAAACTAAAATAAATCCTCAAATATAAATATTTAAATCTTGACAATCCAAACTCCATAAGTTTACAACTCGGGAATCCATCTCTAGTGGACCCCTAATAAAATCCCAAAATGCATGGAAGTAAAACTGAAGATAAAATCTAAATCTAATATCTGGAAAAAAGTCCTACGTTGTCGGTAGAATAGAAGTCTGTATCTGCTCTGCACGAACAAACTTTAACCCTGAAACTGACGAGTACCTGAAAAATATAAGGGTGGGTCAGGCCCACATACAAGTCCTGATCTACTACAATCCAAACAGGAATCCGATACGCAGATACATACTAGAAAGACTCAACAATATCTAGAGTAGTCCATATATGTATAAGTACACACTATAGGACGCTCACTAGTCCAAAAAGGTCTGTCTCAGCCTGAATAGAGATACCATGCAAATTGCACATACTGTGGTCATGTGTATCTAGACCTACCAGGGAACAACACCTCTGTCCAGCTATCCATCCTAGGCAATATACGCACCCTAACCATGGTCCTGAGACTCAAGCTCATACCATGGCACATATAATAAATATATAAAGTCCGTTCAAGGTGTGTCATTCAAAAAGTTTATTGACCTGACACATAGTTATAAGTAGACTTAACTTTTGTAGTTAATCCATCTTATTTCAAAATAGGTAGGACTTAGTGTTTAGAACTAATCCATCCCTAAAGTAGGTAGGTCTTAGTGTTTGAACTAAGCCATCCCTAATATGCCACCGTCCCATACCGGTGCATATACATCCAGATAAGTAGGACTTAACTTTTATAGTTAATCCAACTTATTTCAGAATAGGTAGGACTTGGTATTTATACTAATCCGTCCCTAGGATAGGTAGGTCTTAGTGTTTTGAACTAAGCCGTCCCTAGTATGTCACCGTCCCATACCGGTACATACAAACCTCCATACACACGTAGTTGACAAAATAGTATAAATATATATCAACTACACTCCATAATTTAGCATAAATATAGTCCAACATGTATATGGCCAATTAATGCATCCAAAATAAGATTTAGGAATAATCAACAACCATCCTCCAGTATATGCATTTGTATAAATTCATACATATATCAATATTAGGTATTCACTACAGAACCTACATATCATGCTCCAACAGTTTAAATAGCTAGACTAAGACATAACATTTAAATTATCCAAAACGGCCAATAAATTGATACAAATTAAACAAATTAAATATTAATTTAAATCCAACTAAGTATAGATAAATATAATTAATTTACCATACTTATAACACAGTAAAAATATAGAGTTATATATAATTGAATTATATACAAAACTTTGCCAAGTTCCAGTTATATAAACCTAGCAAAAACAGTGCAACGTATAGACATTATTTGAACTGTTCATTGCTCCTTCCCTTAAACCATTATTGTATTAAATATTTTCAACATTTATTTAAATCCCTAACATTTAATTACATCTCACAGTATCATTTAAACAGCCTTAGAAAGCACTGTACAGCCAAACAGCCCCTAAAACTCGTTTCTGGGCAATTCAAGAAAGAGCAGGCTCAATTAAAACATTGAGCCTGCTCCAAATTTAGGTTAGAGCCGGCTCCTTCAGCATTGAGCCGGCTCCATCTTCCTAATAGAGCCGGCTCCATCCTCTTTGAGCCGGCTCTAAGGTGATTTTAAAGCCTGCTCTTTCTCCGTTGCAGTCTACGTCCGTTCTGAGCTTCATCTTCTTCAACTCCGGTGATTACAGAGCCTCTGTGGTGTGTTCTAATTCTTATTCTAGGTCCAATCTTAGTACTAAATAAGTTTAAACCACTGAGTTCTGATCCTAACATGTGTAGGAACACAAGTTTTAAAGCCCCGTTTACAGAACCTCTGTTAGCAAATCCTAAGCAAGTTGCAACAAATTTAATTCAGATAAATTTGGTGCAATTAAATTCTGTTTTAAACACTTGTTCTGGAGTTCCAATTCAGTCCCAGATTAGTCAACAAACAATGATATACAATCAAAACTTAAATTGAAACACAAGTTGATTCACAGCGGCAGCAAGGTTACAAATTAATTTTCTTAAAGCAACCAAGAACAGATTAATACCATCAATTTAATTACTGATTAAACATGCATAATAGATATAATTAAGCCTTAGTTTAATCCCTGGAGTCTTCCTAAGCATGCACAGAACACAGACTAACGGGATAGAATATAACAGAACTTGCCTTGAGACTTTGGTTTAAAAACCCCCAACTGTTGTCTCTATCCTCTTTGGCTACCTTTGTTGTATCAAACAGCCTCTGCTGCTCCTAATTCAGTCCCGAATTCCTCCTTGAATCACTCAAGTTCACTATGTATTTCCTCTCAATCTTTCTCTCTGTTTTCTCTCTATCACACTGTATACGTGATTATGGTGAATATGATTTTTATTTGTAACCCTAAATCAACACATAAACAATATATATATAGACTCTACAGAAACCCTAAGTCCATACAGATATCACTCGGCCCATAGGTAATCCTAGGTTATAACAATGTCGGCTATGATAAAACCTAAAACCCTAAGTTACAATTAATGCATTTAAAACACATTAAACCAATTAACATAAATAAATAAATAAACAATTAAATTAAAACTAAAAATAAAACATTTAATTCAAATAAAATCAACTAATAACAATTAAATTAAACAATATCAGGTGGTTCAAATAAATTCAGATAAAATTAAATAATACACCAATTAATAAAAATACACACTTAAACAATTTAAAAATGTAATAAAATAATTAATAAAAATATGAGAATTATCCTTTTCAATTTAGGGTATTACAACGGCCAACACACCCATGAGTCGACAATCGCAGAACTGTACCCAACACGGCCGTCGGGCTCCTGGAGAAGGAGCAAAACAAGCCGATCCTGCCCCACACACAAAGCATCCAGAGTATCTATAAGCCATCCATGCACCAAACTCAAAAACATCCATAAGGACGAACTCCACAAAGACCCGATCTGATAGAACCATCCCCGGCTATAAACAATTTGGTTGTCGAAATCCTTTATCTGGAGCACACCATAGTGCCTACATAGCCCAACACACGCAAAACCCATGATAGAAAAGGAACAGAGCATATGAAAACCCAGTATAACAATAAAACAAACCCCCAACCCACAAGAACAAGAGAATATATTATTTCCACACACAAAGAAAAACAGATATGCATAAGCAAAGATATTAACCAAAGGTACAGTGCACCACCAAATCTTCCAAAATATAAGTAATTTACCAAGGGCTAGTCGAAATCGAGAAAAGCCACAGACAACAAACATGGTAATACACAAGATCGAAAGCACTAACACAAAAAAGAAAGCACAAAACACTAGACCACACCACAAGTGACCCTATGCCAGCCAAAGAGCTTGCGAATCGAACCACATACATTATCGGTGAAGAGCAAAACGTAAGCACAGAGAAGATCGCCACCGACTACCCCAATGGAGGCACAAGATCCAACACCCACAAAACCCAAGCAGATCAAAATCGAATCGCAGTTAATTCCCCCCAGGAAGCTAGATGGATGATCATGAAACCCTCAAAATGATAAACCCTAGTCCCAAATTGATCGAGAGAAACCCACCCAACACCAAAGGAACTAAGCAGAAAAGAAACTAGCACGAAAGCAATTGAAGGGACAAAAGATGAGGAGGGAAAGGAGGAAGAAAACGGCAGAAATCAACAGGTGGGAGAAGATCACTCGGACAAACAGAGACGCTCCTATAAATATAGATTTGTTCCGGTAAAAACTTAATCAGGTGAATTGAACTTGTGATTTTTACTTAGCAGTAAGAAAAGAAAAAAATTGTAAAATAACATTAAAATATCATATAAATTAACGTACCTACCCAATGGCATCAATGTGTTTGTTGTCATTGGCTTTCACTATGCATCGTTTTGATCTTGCAGAATATTCCTCGGACAATTATCCTGGCCAACTTTGTTAAAAGCGGTTTTAATCAATCATAGATGCAAAAAATTTTGTTAGTCTAATAAGAAAATAATAGAACATATGAAAAAGGTTAAGATACATTATGTTACTTAAATTAGGTTCATGTCTAGTTTGAGGAGGGAGCCTCCTAACTCCAAAAGTCTCTCGTTAGAAAAATGAGTACATTTTTTAATACTTTAGAAAGTTACTTACTACATTAAGAATTTAAGATTATATGTAAAATGACAATGATTCACCAAAAATTTGCAATTCATTGTAAACAAAATCAGGAAAAGCACAATATTAAAAAAAGAAAAAAAAGGAAAAAGCACTCTTTATGTCAATATGACGGTGTCATAACTCTTCAACTTAAAGTCCAACCTACTGCCAATAGTAATACAGTACTCCGTAGTATTATTACCCACCAGCTATGCTAGCTGTTGGTGGTGGCTCTCTCCTCACAGCGCGTGGTCAGATAGATAGATGGATAGATGATTTGATAATCTGACGTTGTACTTGATAGCCCAACATTCTTGATTGTAATCGCTCCCCTGAGGCTTTATCAAAGTGTCATTTTGAGTTTTATTTATTTTTATTTTTTACCTTTAGGGTTTTTGAAATTGGTTCTCGCGATGGAAGGGAAACTGATCCCTCTGCAATTTATTTTGCTTCTGATCGCTTGCCTGAGCCTTCATCTTTGCTCTTCAAATACGGTAAAAAAAAAAAAAAAAAAAAAAAAAAATGAATATTTGACTTCTTCTTCTGCTTGAAATTGAAGTGATTCCATTCCATGTGTAGTTAGTGTTTTCCTTTAATTTTTTTTTTACATGATTTCACGATCAACACTCAGTCATTTGTTTTAGGTCTATAATGGTCCGCTGGGTGTGCGCTTGCTTGCTTCTTCTGAGAAAGATAACCGTACTGGAGGTGGAGGTGGAGGTACGCACGCATTTTACCTATTTACCACTAAGTGCTTCTCTGAATTCAGTTTATTTAGCTCGCTCTGTCTGGTGTCCAGGAAAAGTAGATTTTGAAAACATGGGCTACCTTCTTCTCTACTCTAAATCATTTGAATTTGATATATCTTTTTCTCAAATTTCCCCCTTTTGGGAATTGGGATGTTCCGTTGCAGGAAATAGCGTTTAACTATACAAATACACATCTGGTCCTTAATTTAGTTCAGTAATCTGGAATGAAACTGATATGTATTTTGAAGGTGTCTAGGAAGTAACCTGTTGGTAATTTTAGAGGAACTCATGGTTGATCACTAGTCTGATCCTTTGGGCAAAACCAATTCCCAGGGTGTGATGGGACATTGTTTGGCACAGTGGTAAAAGTTCAAATTGATAAGCGAGAGGAAGCAGGTTTCGTTTCAATTTGAGACAAATTAATACCATAGGGTTGATTTGTCTCCGATGTTCCCCTTCCTAAACCTCATATATGCAGGACTAGCATAGGGTAGAAACTGATTTGCATTATCATTTTATACTAAAAACTGTGAATGCTACTCAACACAAATTATCATTTTACTAAATCTTTATGCAATTCATCGGTAGTGAATGTATTTGCTTAGAATGAAGATAGACTTCTTCTTCTTCCTCTCTTTCTCGGTAAAATATGAAGATACTGTGTTTCTTTTCATTTTTTAAGCAACATAGAGCATCCATCACCCCCTTTGGTGGTAGGAATTTGGATATCCACAAATACCCCCAAACCCCGGGGTTTGGGGAAGCCAGAATGGACGTTTGACACCCTTAAGAGTTGAACACAAGACCTCTAGGCCTTATACGGCTACCACATGGGGGTTAAATATGAAGATACACCTGTCATGCTTTAACCAAATTCTTCTTTTGACCAATAGCTAATGTGCCACTGCCATGTGCCCACCTTTTAGAGCGTTCAAGGGAAGATGTAGTTTTCCCTTTCAATATTACAACTTGCTTTTACCACCCAATAACTGATTTGTAGTGTAATTGAGCTTAGTGCAAAATCATGTAGACAATCCTTAATAAGTTATGATCTTCTTCTCATCTTCTACTTACCTAGATTTTTTTTTTTTTTTTTGTTGTACTTAATAGAGAATTTTTGTGTTAACTTTGTTGCTGAACTTGAATATTCACATAGTAAAACCATGTTTTTTGTCTTCTTTCTGGTTGTTGGTTTTCACAGAGCCTCTTTTCCTTTAGGTGGTTGCAATTTGTAGAATGCTTTACATCTTGTAAACTTGTAATCTTTTGGATATGTGGTGTGGAAATACCTTGTTTCGAATGACTTTCCTAAATTTAGTGAAACTCTATTAGACTAGGAAGCATTGGTTAGTAATTTAGTATCCATATAAAGAGGTTGGAGAATGGTGTAATCCAGCCACCATCCCTTTTCAGAAATCTTTTAGTATTAGGAAATGGACATGTAGAGGTTTGAAGGAAAGACTATCATAATAGGTGGTGTCCTTCTTCTCAATAGCTGTAGCATTTGTTTTATCCATTGTGGCTGCAGTTTGAGTTCTATGTCAAGGGTGTGCAGATGTTCCCATAAATGTACAATCTCTAGATGTCACACCGTTACTATCAAGAAGAAACAATTATTATTTTTAATTAAAAATTTGGTTACCATGCTTTACTATTGAAAGCGAGTTTTCCATGGGTTCAGGTGGTTTCCCTAGAATTTAGTTTTGAACTATTTTTGTGCTTCTTTGATGCTGCCTTACCAAGATGATACGATTAAATCGTCTTCACAACAATATTGTAATGAAATAGAGAACAAAAGCAAGAGAAAATGATATATTGCAAATAATTGCAAAGCAAACTTTATTTGCTGTAAAAACAAAAAAATCTCAAAAACTAAAACTGAAGACCCTAGCAATTACAAGGGTTTATATGGAGTTTCTTCCTCCCCAATCCTAGCCTTATATTAGCTAACCATCAAATATAAAATAAAACCAAAACAGGAAAGTTGCCAAAAATTCAGAAAACTAGAAAAGTAAGGAAAATTTTAAAATATGAAAAGTTTCTAAAAGACACAAATTTCACTGCAGAAAATTAGGTTCTGTGACTGCATCAGTCCCCCCAGGTTGGAAAGAACTTGTCCTCGAGTTTTTGCTATGGATCATATGTAAGTATAAATAGGATTCTGATTGTTGGTCCTGGGCTGCCACCTCTCATGGGCGCTTTGAGGTTAGATCCTTTTTTAGATGCCTCACGGATGATCATAAAGCTCGCTTCCCTTGGAAGGCTGTTTGGCGCTCTAAGGCTCCTCTCAAGGTGGGTTTTTTTGCTTGGACCTCTGTTTTGGGACGGATTTTAACCCAGGATAATTTGAGAAGGAGAAATCAGGTGGTGATCAATCGCTGCTATATGTGTCTTCGGGATGAGGAATCTGTGGATCACCTTCTCCTCCATTGCAACATGGTTAGAGACTGCTGGAATTTGATGTTTGGCTTGTTTGGGATTCTTTGGGTTATGCCTGGATCCGTTAGAGGGTTGATTGAGGCTTGGAGAGGTTGCCATGTGGGGGCTCACATTGTGGACGCTTGGAGGGCTACGCCTCTTTGTGTGTGGTGGTGTATTTGGCTCGAGAGGAATAGAAGATATTTTGATGGGAAAGAGTTGTCGATTTCTACTCTTAAATTCTCTATTATTTCCACTCTTTTTTGTTGGGTTTATGGGAGAGATCATAGAACTTTAGATGAAATTATCGATTTTTTGGCTTCATTGAAGGCCTAAAGGTCCTTTGTGGCCTTGTGTATATTTTCAGGGTTTCGCTCCCCTTTTGAGCGCTTTTATAAAATTATTCTTACTTATCAAAAAAAAAAAAGTTAAGTATAAATAGGATTCTATACCATTGGGAACTTCTTAATTTTTCACGAACTCTTTCCATGATGATACCCGAAAATCCATGCTCTAAAATATCATGCTTGGTACCCGATTTACCTCACCAATGGTTACTATTAGATGTACAGAAGGAATTTTAGACAAGAAGCCCAGCCGAGTATTCAAGGTGTGTGGTACACCAAACATATCTTGTACAACAGCATGACCAACAATATATTGACCAAAAGTATCATATAAAAGAACATATATGCCAGAATATGCCAACCGTGCAATTTGACTATTAGCTGCCTTTGGTATCACATGATTCAGCAGACCAGAACCAACTTCTGATGGAACAGTTCCTCTTTCCCCATGTGTCATCAATTTGGAAATATCATTGACCATACCATCAACTAATCCATATGGCTCACTTTTATTAGCAAATTTCTGGTCATCATCCTCTTCTTTTGTTGTATTGAATTTCTCAACTTTATCATCTTCATGTTTCAGATTCAGTAGTGACTTTTGCATAACCAAAAAATCATCTACATCACCACATATGATATCATCCTCTTCCTCCGGGTAATCATCATATTTTGGCCTGACCTGGGGTCGCATCATCTTCCTCAATCTAAAATTATTTTTCTTCACCACCAAGATATCCTACAAATTTGCCCCTATAGGCATGTTGGCTGAAGAATCAGTCCATCCGACTCATCCCAAACTAGATAATAGGAATCGGGGGTTTAGAACCCCTATTCCACTATTTTCTGTGCAAGATTCTACATCCCTTCGGATTGTATGCTGAGTTATCCCAGCGTCCTAGATTTGCTCAATTTCAGCTTGCTTGTTATGACCAATACCATCCAATTTCCAGTAGCTATCCCTAAGCGTCCATCGAGAGCGAAGTAGAGACCTTAGTTTCCGTACTTCCGTCGCCTATGTAGCCGGTCCCCTCGATCCGAGGCCGGTCTGGATGTTGCTCTACTGCAAAAAGGATTGAAAAAGTCCTCTTCATAAGAATCAGTAACCTGGAAATTGATATTTGTCAGCCAACAACAATCGGTTCGCTCATTGAGTGATCTATGGCGACGCAAAAAATACGATTTTTTCGCAATAGTTGGTGTATGACACATCATCATCCACCAAAACATTGTCATCAACTAGTGGGTTGACAACATGTTGACCCAATAGTTGAGTCAACAACTCAACTTGTCTCCGTAAAAACTCTCATTCGTGTTGCTTGGGTAAAGGTTTAGTCAGATCCTGCATCCTATAATTTCCTCCTCTCGGTTGTTGTCGTGGAGGCATGATTGAGCAGTCGGAAAGCCAAAACCAAAGCGCTGATACCAAACTGATGCCGCTTTACCAAGAGGATATGATTAAATCGTCTTCACAGCAATATTGAAACAAAATAAAGAACAAAAGCAAGAGAAAAGGATAAATTGCAAAGAATTGCAAAGCAAACTTTATTTGTTTTAAAAAAAATAATTGCAAAAACTAAAACTGGAATATAAAATAATTACCAAATATAAAATAAAACCAAAACAGGAAAGTTGCCTAAGCAAGTGGTTATGGAGATTCGGCAGTGAAAGACATAGGTTATGGACAGGGGCGGAGCCAATTAAGGCCCAGAGGGGGCACATGCCCCCCGCCCTTGCTCCAACCTACTATATATAGGTATATATTTTTTTTATATTCATATATTTATATGGTAATTTTAAATAGTGCCCCCCCTAAAATTTTCAAATTCCTCTAATTTTCTTTTGAAAAAAAAAAAAATGTTACATATATCCCCCTTTTCAAGTACACCATATATTTTTCCTTTTCTAATTTTTCTTTCCTTTTTCAAAAATTTTCTTTTTTAACTTATGTATAATTATGAATTGTTTTATTTTTTCCACTTCTTTCTTTTTATTGATGACATTTGTGATTGTATTTTATTAAAATATTATTAATCAATATTTTGATTCTTATATTTGTAAGTATATTTTTTTTACAATACTTATTTAGCATATTATTTCACAACCATTTTTTTTTTTTTGTTTTTTTAATTTTAAGTTTTTTTTTTATTCAATAAGTGCATTGTGCCTCCTCTGAAATAAAATTCTAGCTCTGCCCCTGGTTATG